CACGCTTACATTTGCCTCGTATTTTCTCACACACAGACACACAGAAATGCAAGCGCACCCACAGATAGCGAGTGAGACTCTAATCCCTCCCATTCAAGTTCCCTAAACGCCTAAAGAGGAAATTGTAGATAACACCCGTGTCTTCGTCTTCTGCTTAGGTGTCATCAGATAGCATTTCCATAATTCTTACTTTTGAGTTCATATTTAGGAAAATGGGCTATTGTAGCTGAATCCCCTTCAGCATGGGGGTTGAAATTAGCAGGGTCTTTTGTTTGTATTGTTTTTTTGTTTCAGTGAATATTGAATTGAATACACATGCTATTGTGAATTCATTCTAGTACTCAGTCATTGTGAATTGTCACACACGGCATTGTGGATGTTTTCTCTGCGGGGATAAAATGTCAGGAAGTCTCAGAGTAGGGAGCCGCTTTAATGTTCGGATGAACTGTGTATTGACTGAGAGAAATGCTTGTTTGTGTCTTTTACATATCTGCTTAAGGTTATCCTGAGATGTAAGCTTGATTGTGAAAAGGTTAGAGAGAGGGCTGTGGCATTTTGTATGCATTAGAGGGTGTGTCCGTGTGCCCATCCTTTTTGTTATATTGAAGGCCCATTGAATGATGCAGGGCTTGTGATGCCCTCTAAGCGTCAGCTTGATAGATAGCGCCGTGTGTCGCGTGTGCCTATTTTAAAAGAAATATTTCTGTCAAGCTGTTTATTTCTTCCCTTCCATCTAGCCTGATTTATCATTGCCATTGTTCTTTTCATTCACTCCATGTACGTCCCGGAGCTGTTTGTTGCTAAAATGAGTAGCAATAATTTTCGATTCAAACAGGACTTTATTCTCTGGTGCTCTTTTAAACTGTCTTGTTTGAGGTCATGATTGATTAGTGGGATTTAGCTGGATGTCTGCCCGTAGAGCTTCTGATCTCATCTCGCAGTTTCCATTTTCTATCTGATTGGAGTCCCTGATCCAGAAGGGCTTATCTTATGGCTTTGATTTGTAGCACCTCTTCTCTGCTAATGGCTCTGCACGTTGATGTGAGCAGCCATTCTGTCTTTGTATCCAAGTTCATACCTCTGTTTTGTTACCTTTTTCTTTAAAGCTCTCAATTTGATACTGGAGTGTACAGGTATCCTTTTGCCTTACTTTGGAGATGTTGACATAAAATGTAACCTCATGTCGGTGGTAAAGGTGAACCAAAGAGAACATATTGCTCTGGGGAAGGTCTCAGTGTAGAAGGGATTGAGAAAGAAACTTAATTAGATGTAATATAAGGGTACGCGACCAGTCAAGCAAACCCATCATACCCTAATATGCATACAGAAATAATGAACTTTAATTGGTAATTTCACAAAGTGAAAGAAAAATTAATCAATACATTTAGCCAAATTGATAAACTTTTTCAAATTCATTTAAGATTCATCAAAGGTGTATTTGAAATTGAAATGAGATTTTCTCGCTCCGTTACACTGATTTCAAACCTGGCAGGTGTTTCACTGCATTGACCATCTGTCATCTGCAGTCTCAGTTTGGATAAATGAGACAAACAAATGCCATTGGTTGGTTGACAGATGAGACGCATGCTCAATAGAAAGAGAAGGGGGAAATTAAAAGGTCGGGGGAAAGGAAAGGTTGCCAGATGAAAGGTCTTTGATCTCATGAAAATGCCCTCTATTCGGTGTCACATGCTGTTAGCACCTGAAAGCTCTTCATGCTGATAGGCTGATGGTACAAAGAGACAGAAAATCCTTTTGGGAAACAAAACGTAAAATTAGTGGGATGATGTCATTGTCAATTCACAAACAAACTCCCGTGTGCTGATATCAGGGCGAGAGTTTTATTCAGTGGATTAACTGTTTGGAAAAAATGCTGAATGGTCTCCGTGCTTTCTTAACTTAACTTTTGTTATAGGTAGAGAGATTTGTGGGACATTTCGACCAAACACAGGTCTGCTCCAGAAGCCAGGAGATGGTGTCAGTATAAACCCAGGCCCCCGTGTATGCAGCAACCCTCAGGATGTAATGACATTAGTGAGAATGAATCACTTCTATTCAGATGAGCTGAAAGCCTTGGGCGCTTTAATCAGAGACGTTCTTTTGTCAGCCAGGCTACGAGCATGACCAAAAGTGTTTAACATCTGATTATCACTTAGTTACGTTACAACGATGCTGTTCTTGATTGTGAGATTTGCCACCTCAATACAAGTCTGAGCAAGTTGTTTTACTCCAGTTTGTTTTTTGGGATTCAAGTCTTTTCTCTTAAAGTTTTTTTTTTTAGAAATATCATTGGATATTACTGGAAACATTATGTTTGCCATTTGTACAATGTAAAAAAAAGGGGATTACATAAGCTTGTGTCAACCATTACACTCTCCATATCATACGGAGTCCACTTATTTCCACAGTTTTGTGCCCCTGAACTTCTTCAGTAGTTTTTAGACAATGCATTACCCAGCGTAAAATAGGACCCTCTAAAAGGAATGAACTCTCAGCTTTGATTCGACGCTTAAAAAAATAAGTGATCCTTCTCGGACCAGTGCCCAATTTTCATGTAGCAACAGAGGTTTAATTTGTCTGAGTGCTGCAGTCACCTCACATCCTGGGAAAGGATTGTGGTGAGAGGTGGCATAACAACTTCAGTGCAACAGTTCTTGGCTCTCCAGTCGTCTTTTTAACTCGTTACTTAAACAAGGAGAGAAAATGAAAAAAAAAAAATTGTAATAATGTAAAAATATCACCCTCTAAATTTTGAACTACTTTAAAATCATGAAGCTTCAACTTTAACGTTTGTATTAAATAAAATATGCCAAAAAAGTATAAACATAATGGAGCAGACACAATCTATTAATAAAGCACTTTAGCTAGAATCTGTAAGATTTTATGAAAGCGCACTTTGACAACTACCCCATAATAGCTTACAATACATCTGGTAAATCACTATTAAAGCCCTGATTAGCTTTGCTTTCATGCAAAGATCCCAGACACAATTGCATTAGAAGATCACTTCACTTTCTGAATATTGACCTGGAGCACATCATAAATAACTGATGCTAACAAGTTTGCCTCTCTGATTTAATCAGGAGCAATATGGTGGACTATGAGAAGACGTCAGATGTTTTGTGTAGATCTGTTTTCCCCCTTCCATGGACAATATTGACTGTTAATTGCCTCAATTTGAGCTTATTATTCCATCTCAGTTGATATATAAAGGTGCATCCTCGACACGTCCGCGTATGTAAAGTAGTCAATGTGTGTTTTTGGACTGTAGAATACCCACGAGAGAGGTCATCTGTAAAGGCAGTGTTTGGTTTGTCCAAACAGGAAAAAGTCCACACAGATGATTGAAACCAATATTGGTCTGCCAAAAGCTTCTTATCTACTTTTTCTTTGATCTGTGATTTCAGAGGAGCATGGTTTCAGACCTTCGGAAAAAGCGCAGTGCAAAAATCCAGGCTGTCTTTGATTTGCAGTTGGAAATAGACAGTACCACAATTTGTTTGACAGGAGTAGAAAAAAAACATGTCCACGTTGATGCCCTACTTCACTGTCAAACAAACAAGAAAAATCATGACCTCAAAGATAAATGGGTGATATAAGTCTTTTCACCAAAGCTGACTAGTAGAGCTTAGTTGTGGAGTGTTTCCATGCTTCCTTAACAAGCATAGAGACAGAAGTCTTCAGATGGCCTTCACTAGTCTGCTCCAAAAAAACAATAAACAACACTAAATTACTTATGATGCCTTAAGTCTAGAGAAAGAGTCTATAGCAGTTTGTTCTGCTATACATGTTTCCTTTATTAATCCATCTCCATGATCTCTTCTGCCTACTCAGGTAGATTCTCTCTGGCCAAGCAGCCTGCTGAGGGCGGATGGATGTGACTCAGGTGTTTTGAAGCAGAGAAACTTGTAAAAACCTGCAGGGCGACGCCTCTGAATACCCTGAAATGGAGCGTTTCTGCTTTATGGACATATACTGGCAGCGAGTCCACAAGAGAGCGACCTGATATCTGAATATCTTAAAGTAAAGTAGCAAACAGCCTTGGATTAAGAGTAGGCTGTTTTTAAAGTTAAGATTTAAAACAGTAAATGGTTTTACAGCAACCTTAAAAGTGCATATCCTGCCAACAAAGAACGATTGATCAAGTGTAGTGAAAAAAGCTGTTGTGAGCTCTTAGAGAAACAGTCCAAAACCAAATCAGATGGTAAAAATGCTTTCAAAGGGTCAGTGTCCGGTTACTCAAACAGGATTTCATGTAAATCAAGTACAATATGTTCTTCTCACTGACTAAATGTTTTACCATTGTGCTTGTGGTCAATCCAAAATCTCTCTCTCTCTCGTGTTTGCTTATTCAGTAGCCTATTTATACTGACCACTATTGTTGGTCAGACTACTACTGAAATTGATAATGCTGAACTCCCTTTCATTTTGAATGGTTGCTGATGGTGACTCACAGCTTTAACTGTGCTATCCAAAGGTTAGTATTCCAGTTGGAGCCAGAGAATTCCTCCATTTCAAATAAGTAGGAAAGATTGTGCTCAGAAAAAGTAGATGTCCAATTATTGGCATTAACATGATAAAGGTTAATACTAATAATAATAATACTGATAATATGAATAATACTAACAACAACAAGAACAACAGCAATGACAACAACAACAACAATACTTATTCTTCTTCTATTATTATTATTATTATTATTATTATTATTATTATTATTATTATTA